AAGACTGGAATAGTAACTTTGTCATCAGAGTAAACAAAAGGTTGGAAAAGAAGCTTGGTTGACGGTATAACCAGCGGGCTATGCTTTGTATTCACGTAAGCCAACTTCCATCATGCCACACGTTAGTTGCTGTTTCTCATAGCGTGGTATGTGTCATTGTGGATTTTTTTTACCAGACCACAATAACCACTCTGAGTATGTCTGCGATCGCCACAAATGGAAAAGTTCCAGCTGGCGGTTCATACTTCATGATCTCGCGATCCATCGGTCCGGAATTTGGTGGTGCTGTGGGGATTCTCTTCTATCTTGGCACTTCAATGGCAGCTGCTATGTATCTGGTTGGATCTGTTGAAGTCTTTCTGGTAAGACTTTTTCTGGAAAATTGACTGCATTACTCTGTGCTTTGTAGAAATCCAGAATAACTTCAGGTGGAACATAAATTTGCTAGCCCATATGCAGCTGATGTCTCAGTACTTTTAGGCCAGGTGATCGGAATTTTGTCACACTCTACATTCATAGATTGTCATTTTATAGGATAACCTTAAAATTTTGTTGTGTAACACTGAATAGGTCATGGGTGCATTGTTTTTTTGTGGTGTCAAGACAAAAATTTCCATAGATGCAATCATTGTGCCACGAGATTTTATAAGGTAAACTCAATTCCTTTTTGAATTTTGAAACGAGCTCCCACTTTAAAAAAATGGCAAACTACACGCGATATTCTCAACATTCATTTCACATTATCTAGAAATTGCGTTTACCATGCTCAATATAATTTTTTTTATTTCAGTGCCATTTTAAAGTGTAGAGAGGAAATCAAATAGAACTGTTTATGGTAGTATTTGCCACCACTATCGTGTACTATTTATGGTTTTCCTTCTTTGGGTAGAAATACGTGTGTCCCCAGGCCTCTCTATTTGGTGACATAAGTGACAGCGCCTCCTTGTTTAACAATACGCGGGTGTATGGCACAATCCTCACTTTCCTCGTAATGGTCTGCGTCTTTATCGGCATACGTTTTGTAAGCAAATTCTCCGTACTCAGTCTGGCAGCTGTACTCTTATCTATTTTCTGCATCTACATTGGAATCTTTACTGCCAGTCCTGCCAGAAGTCCCTAGTAGGTCCACACTCTACATTTCTACCTCTCTTATCCTCCGTATTCAAGCTTACAAATCTTAGTTGAAGCAAAAATCTTGTGATTTTGCATTATAAAAGTTACTCTATTGCTTGCCCACTAGTCTGTGACAATCGTAGATCATGAAAATTTACGATGTAGTGTACGTCATTTTTGAACCAGATGCTATCACATAAACAATATTAATATGCAATTTTTATTCAATTTATCTTATTATGCATGTCCTTTTATTTCGCATTCTGTGTAGTTTATTTAATTACTAGAAAAGTTACGGACAATTGTTGTACAAAAAACAACTCTTATTAGCGACATTGTCCGTCTTGTTTTGTTTTGTTTTGTTTTTTGAAAAGGATATGGTGGATTTCTTAACCGGGAACGTTAGTCACGACATTCATGACCTGTGGTTAAGAGTTGCGTGAATTCACGACACTCAAACCTGTTGCTAGCACGTTGACATTGCTTTGGCGGGTTGATAAATTGAATTTTGGCCTCTTCTTTAATTCCACTGCTTCATTTGATCATAAAACGAAGAAGAGGTTATACTTCAGTTCGTTATTTAGCTGACCGAATCATTCCTTCAAAAGCATAAGGTTAGCGACTACTTTCGCTTGGTTGGCATTTAGCTCTATGTTTTGCAAATATAAATTAACTCAGAGCTTTCCGTAATTGTTAATACTAAAATTTTGGTTGATAGGCTTTCTTTATTTTTTCACTGATTTTGTCTATTTATGTCCCATTCATTGTGGAAATGTGTCTTAAAGGTAGTTTTAAATATTTTATTGAATCAATTTAAATATGTTCCGTTGAATTTTTGGTGATTTATTTGTTGAAAGTTCAAAATACTCATAAGTAAGTTGACTTTTATCGGAACACAGTCAAAATCAAATTGGTGAAATTTCTTTTGTCGGGGATTTTGCCATGCATTTTTTGCCCTAAGAAGATTTTTATGAAGCTTGCTCATTGTGGATGCAAATTATACCAGGCAAATATTGCAAACCGATATACCTTCACTACCACTTATGGACTTTTTGCATGTTGGTCATTAGGACGTTCCAGATTTTTCCTGAGGGGATTTTGAACCGTGGCATAATGGCAAAAAAATGCATTACTGACGCAAAGAAGGGACATGCGAACGGGGTGGTGGCATCTGACAGCTCAATGGCCATGTGAGTGGGTCGAAAAGTCAAGCATCCGTACAAGTAAACGCATAGTTAAGCAAACTTTCAAATTGCTACCTAATCATTGGCGCATTCTTTGGTAAGCTTACCTCATCGGCCATTGAGGTGGGAAAGACGCCAAATCCTTGTGGCAAGTCCACTTGACTTAGAGCTTCATTCGTCTCAGAGACTGTAGTGGGAGCGATTGTATTGCGCTGGGCATCTTGTAGGTCCTTCCCTAGCCACAAGAACATTGAACTACATTGAACATTGTCATTCGACAAAGAGTAGGGCTTGGTGTCATTGTTTTTACTTTAGTCCTGCTCAGCTGTGCATCCATTTGGCTTCTTTTTGCATAATAGTTTGGTCGAGACGATATCTCATGATCATTAACTCGGCATCCTCATACACGTACCATTGGCAGCTCCACAACAAAATTAGTCAGGCTGATCACAGCTAGTCTCTCTTCAATTTTTAGTAACATCCTCTCAGGACGCTTACCAAGATCTCGTGCAATGACAAACGTCATTTGCTTCCTTACGCTCGGTGTCTCTATGGCTTCTTTTATCTATGGCAGGGGCTCTTTTTCAATTACTTAGTGATAGCAAAATCATTGTACTTTTTCTTTGAGATCCGTTGCACTGATATGGTAAATGTATTACTGACGTGGAGGAGGCTGAAGCAGTAATGTCACAGTCCGGAAGCCAGGCCATCTAGCGGAAGTACGAGTCACGAAACCGACCGGAAAGGTAGAATAATGATCAGAGCATTACATCCACCTTGGAACATTATGCCGAATTAAGGTTCTTCCACGAAAGACTTCCTGAGCTTCATGCATGCACTAGCAAATTGTACAATTTCTAGCGAAGAATAATTACTAAGTTGAGATGTTTCTACTGACGTTTCACAAATTCATGCCAATTTAGAACGTTTGTCTGTCAAGTCTCTTACTTCGACTGCCAGCTTGTAGCTCCTGATCCGAAATGCTTTCTTCATTGTTGTCGTATTTGGTGTCAGCCAAGCACTGGTTCTTGGTTTTGCTTGAATTGTTGGCTTACTTTTTGCTCCTTTTTATTCATCCCTGACGGTAGCCACAACCTTGGACTATAATCATTCATGCAAACATTCCAATTGACTTACTGAGTTAATTATTGCAAAATCAAAACAAGTGGATGCCTAATATGACAAGGTCGATCTCTGTGGTACCAAGTAACCTGAATACCTTGCTTCAATCAAATTGCCACCATTCTGTTGTGCGTATTATGCAACATTCTTCCATCAAATGCCGATATCCTGACACTTTGTTCCCTCCATAATGTTTTTCTTCACACTTTTGCCCAAAGTTGCTGCTTTGCGTTGCCTAATAAATCAGTGTAAAAATTTCCTGAAGGGGCAAATTAATAGGTGTTTAACGTCTTATTTGTGAGGTGTTTTTAATGGTTTCAACATTTATAAGAAGCTGCTTGCTTTCATTAATGCGAAAGTACAAGTTGATTGGTGTAGTGAATTTCTGTTCCTGTGCAACTACAAATTGACATGGACAAGAAGGCGAAGGCATTTGCTACCCAAAGTTCTTTTTTTTTCATTGCTATTTTATTCGTAGTGAAAAGTATTCCATTATTTTTTGTCTTCAGATAACGTTGTCGCTTTGGGCGTAGCACTTTAATAATTTGGCAGTAGGTTAGTCTTGGCTGTGTTGTTGTGCCTTCATCGGATGACCTGGTCTCCTGCCCAGTAGCACCACTTTGTTTTGTCCTAAAAAGGCTCCTGAAGCACCGCTATAACATGGGTTTCTCTAACCCACATCGGTAATGTACTGTTGGGGAAAAACTTTAAACATTATCATCTGCAAGTCCCTTTCCATAAAGTTGTGACACTTCCATCCCTTCTCTCTCCCAGAGGTGGATGTAAATGCAAAAAAAATCTGGATAGCTATAAAACTAAACATGTATGTGGAACGACTTGCAAGTGTAGAATAAATACTTTGCTTGGCTAGTGTGTTGGGAGGACGGTACATTGACATATGGACCGTTTAATTGACAATTCATTCAAAAATGGCTCACTATTATTATCCAAAATCACACTCAATTTTCTAGTTACACTTTGAACGACTAGTGTTCAGTAGTATTGTGCGGAGAGTCGATTTTAGTAGATCTTACTGTTTCCACTCCTTTGTATTTAGTGTGTGCGCCCTTGGGGGTCGCTTGATTGCTAAGTCAAGGATACTGGCGAATGGGACGTTACAGTGCCACAAGAACATTACTGGTCCTCTTTATCACCTCTATTGTGGCCAAAACACTTCTATTGATGCATGTGAATTTTTTAACGCCAACAATGTTACCGAATTTCCCGCCATTCCAGGTCTCGCCTCTAATATGTTTTATGGTAAGCTTTCACTTGTTAACTCAGAATTGGCTTTTGCTTTACCTTTAGCTTCGCCCCAAAGTGTCTGCTCTGGTAGAGGTTATTGAATAGCCCATCTTTAAACAAAGTAGAAACAGTTTTCGACCTGTTTTTATTTAAAATATGTGTATCGTCTTTTGGTTCTCATATGAGCAAGATAGGAATCGTTTATTTACTACTGTATTTAAATTTGATCATCAATCGCCATCAAGTTAGTGTCTTTAAGTAACCTATTTGGTCTCTTGATTGGCATAAAGTGCCTGAAGGAATAGAAAGTGGAAGATAAACAATTTTTATGCGACGGATAATCCATTCCTATCTGGACATTGGTGAAGGTGCATGGAAAAGTTTCCTTACTGATGCTTTCTGTAATATCTTAGACAATGTTCTCACCGCTTATTATCGTGAAGCGGGCGAATCATACGATGATATTAGCTTCCCACCCAGTGCTGAATACGGTCAGGCATCCGCCATTGCTGACATTACCACGAGCTTTACCATCTTGATCGCTATTTTCTTCCCCTCAGTCACTGGTAAGTTCTTCAGGTCCTTTAAACTACTCGAATGAACTTTAATTATTTGAAGGTAATTAATTGTGGGTTAGATTTGATGAGTCAGGAGTGGTGGGTCAAGTACCTACAGCAAATGTCTGACCCCTTTAACTTGTGTTTGGGGACCTGGAATATGTGTAGGAATGCAAAAGACCCACCACGTACCCCAGACGCACCCACCAAAACCGGCTTTCCCCAATTCTCTCCCCCGGCTAACCTTGTGTTCTATCAAACAAACCTGTGTAATGTTATGGCTTTTCATTGCCTTTAACTTACACTAGATGTACTTTTCACTTGCAGCAGTGCAGCACTATTAAGACTCATTGCCACAGAAAACTACTATGAAAAATAGCCAGTTTTTATCAAGTAGGCGGGTTGGATAGGGTTGCTTTAACTTCCCACGTGCTATTTATTTGTACAAGGAGGCGTGTGATACTAAACTGTCAACTATTTTTATTCTTGCATGTCAGCGCTTTTTCACCTTTCCTCGCAGTCGATATGTTGCTGAGGTTGACACAAATCCTTTATTGTAGTAAACCATTGTAGCCTCGGTGGTTGCCACTTAATGGGCTCCTCAAAAGTCCGGTTTCTACGAGACACTTTATAGATCATAATGGGGCATGGACGCTTATTCCGGGTCCGAGATCGAATTTAACCCCTGCCTTTGACCTATCAGGAACTTTGAACAACTCGTTTATGACAGCCATGACTATTAAAAAGGAAAACGTTGGTTGAATCAATCAGCATGGATGATTTGTTTTAGGCTTTTGAGCATTAGATCCGAACTCTCTTATGGACTCAAGTAAACTTCCTCTTTTTGGCTGCCATTGGTTCCACAATCCCTTCCTATAAGTTATTTCCATTACCAACTTCCATTCTTACCTACACCTGTCAATGATAATAGAGAAAAGCGGCTTAAGATAGGTAATTTGAACATTGCAAAATAGGCGCATCTAAAAAAGACACAATTTTTCCAAGCTAACAATTGGGGAATTCTGATGCTTTTTTTCAAGTTGTAGCATATTAAGCTTATGCACAAAGCCAGTTGCACTGAACTACGTCAACTATTCACTTGTTCTCTTTGACAGGTCTGATGGCAGGGTCCAACCGATCTGGCGATTTGGCGAATCCTCAATTTTCCATTCCTGTGGGAACGCTTTGTGCTGTCATGGTCACTAGCTTTGTGTGTATCCTTTAAGCTTTGAATAACTCACTCTTGTTAGGATATGAATGATATAGAATTGCAGGTGAAATTGTTGGACTTTGCTCCGGTTTACTAGACAGTGCGTTGGCATAATTTGCTTTCGAAAAGCTAAGTGTGCCTTGAAAGTTTATCTCACTACGCATAATCTTGACTTGACTATCATCAACCCCTAAAAACAATGATTTTCCCTTGACCAAGCTTACCAATAGATCTTTCAACCACCCTGTTCTTCCCTGCTGTTGCCGATGGTCGTGTTCTTCGAGATAAGTAAGGCTGATTTCTCCCATTACAGCATAGTTAAATTCGTTTGCTGAATGGATAGCTCATTGGTTTTAGATTTGGGGAATCGATGGGCGGTGAAATGCTTGTTGCGGCACTCGCATGGCCACATTCTTGGGTCATTCGAATTGGCACCTTACTGGCAAGTATCGGTGCTGGCCTTCAATGTCTTACAGGTAAAACAATGCCTTCTCTTTTCGAAATGCAAGCGTTATAGGTTGCTTTGCTTAAATCAGATACAAGGAAGTAAATTAGTTAGTAAGACGGAACTTGGATGACCTCATTGGGTATTTGAGTAGTTTAGTTTCCTTGGTCCCTGTAAAAACATTCCTTCTACAGCAGTGCAGCCCATTAGTTTTTTCTGCGCTCGACTTCCTTTGAAGCACAACTTTGTCAGCGTTATGCCAGTGTTTAGCTTCATCAGTCCATCAGCTTTTTGAAAGCGCAATCATCCATTACTTACTGCCTTGGCATCCGTATTACCAGAAAATCTTCTCCCCTTAAGGCTGTCCTGAATGTAGCGAGTGTGAAAATTAAGCATCTCCAAATATGGCTTATAGGAAGTGGAGTTTGAACAACCCTCTTCCTTTTTTCTGCCTCAGGGCCTTTATTGTGTGGAGGCGGACGATTTGGGGCTGAAAAAAAAACAAATTCCTTGTCAGTTGCATAGACACCCACATGCCACCCACTGTTTTTGTTTTTACTTAGCTCTTCTACTACCTGTCGTAAATTAAGATTATGAAATGCGTTTATTTATGAATGATTGCTTTGTTCCCCAATTGAAGTGATGTTCTTAACAAAATGAGATCAACGCTTCCTACCAACTACAAAAGTTCAAGACTATCTTAAACAATCGTTCCCTTGTGAACTAAGGCTTTGCGACATCCATAAACTTCACTGCTTCCCACTCTTCTCAAGCACTGGAGTTCAGGATGAAGAACTAGTTAGAAATTTAATTTTCTCTTTAAGGTAACAACTTCCTATCAATCATCTTTTGCACTCTTTTAGGAGCGCCCCGTTTGCTGCAAGCAATAGCTCAAGACGAAGTTATTTCCTTCCTCTCCATCTTCAAGGTGGTTACCAAACGCGGTGAACCGTTACGAGCCCAACTGCTCACCTACGCTATCAGTCAGGGTGCTGTTTTGATTGCCTCAATTGATGCTATCACGCCCTTGATTACCATGTAAGTGAGAAGCACGTGTGTGTAATCAAGTTGGCTGCCATACGTCGATTTGGATGCATCTCATACCTGCGTCCAAGACACTTCGTTCGCCTGCTGGTGATTTCCTGTTCTCCTTTGATTGTCATAGCTGAATAAGACCTTCTAGAACATCAGAATAAAAATTTGCTGCAATTGTATCTTTGAATGGAGACGCATTGAAGTAGAACACGATTATGAGTCTTCAGCAAAACTTTGCTTCCTCTATGGTCAGTTTTACACTTTATGGCCTACTTCATCGATATGATCTCTTACTACTTGTTAGGAGCCGAAATAGGACAACTTGTTTTTGTCTAGTGAAAATGTTGCATTCACTTGGGATAAGTTGCCGAATTTTACGATTGCGTGCGTTGCTGTTGGCTTAAGCTTGTGTCAACTTGAGGCCAAGTAACATTCATTTCAATTACAGATCTTCAAATCTGTTTTCAAATAAACTTGGAATAGACCTTAGGTCTGATTAGAAATTAAAAGGATTCGGTCAGAAATACGTGGGTAACGCTCCCTCCTTCTCTCACTTCGAGTCCAAAGTTTGGCTAACCAGCTTGCATTTCAACACCACTTATTCGTCTTCCACATTTGGGTGGAAATAACATCATTAACACGGATTGAGAGACGATTGCAGGAATGTATCTCATTAAATGGTTAGAAGGTGGCAGGAGTTTATGTTGTTGGCGTATCTCTCACTTGGGAATGAGTAAATAATTTATCGAATGATATACACTAACGCCACTCAATTTGATGTGGGTTTTAAGATGAGTTTCATGTATGATTTTGCTCATTCCAAAGGACGTGAGGCATACCACCTCTGCTAGTAATTGTTTTTACCAAAATGTCTAAGTGTAGTTCTGGGATGCATTTCGCTTTCATGCAACCATTCTCCTCTCAATATTCTCCTGCTTTCATTGTGGAGGGTCTAGCATACTCTTCAATACGTCCAACCTGTCACAGATACTAATCAGGAGGATAGTGGAGCACATCCTTTTGGGAGACATATTCTGCGCTTCCTGCGTTTCATTCGTGTAGGAAATTCTTTTTCCTACTTGCTCCTTTATTCCCTATCGCTACTGCCCTTAAAAAATTCCCTTTCCACTTTTGAGGTTCTTCCTTCTCTGCTATGGATTTGTCAATTTGGCCACGGCGTTGAATGACTACCTCAAGGAGCCCAGCTGGAGACCCCGATTTAAATACCATCATTGGTAAATTTAATTCCAAGTTGTCATCGCTTGAACAATGTAATAAACATCGTGTCAGTGACAAGAACGAAAATGCACAAACTTCAATGTCACAGCTTAAATTTCTGGTTAAATGTTTTAAGAATTGGCAATTTCTTAAGTGTTTCAGACCTTATCCTTAAAATGAAAATGCAATGAGTACTCCTTAAGTTTTTAACCCACCAACCAAACAAATTAAATAGGAGCTGTTGTAGCTTGTCTTTTAACGACATAAATCCTCGCGTTTACAAGACCCTAAATCTCCTCAGCAACCTTTCAATTGGCTATGACGTGAGTTACGTTAAATAGGATCGAAAGATCATTGGAGAGACCCTATGGAGTTACTACCCTCGTCTCCTTCTCTCCATTTCACTGCTGTTCAAACGTATATTTAGATGCCATTCACCAACTAGCGTCATGGAGGTAGTACCATTCATTCCAAATACCTTCAAATAAACACTATGAATGGCTTCACGATGAAAGCGTTTACATTGTTTATTTCCGGTGTCGCTTCAGACAGCTGCTTTCTCAGTTAGAGCACGACATTAACATGTCTGTCAAAAACTCCGCCCTATTGACCTTTCTCGAATTTGTCTTTATTGGCACATTTATTCGTGAAAGGTAAATAAGGTTGTCTACAGCCAGCATGGAGACGGAAATCGAGGAATTGCTTTCCATCGTGACACTGCACTGTAGTTATGCACAATGAGGATGATTGAGCTATGCTTTTACAAATAAGGAGGGTGTGATTTTGGATGTTTAAAGTCTATGCTATATCTCCTTGCTAGATGGCGTCAAAAGCAACGCTTATTATTATTAACCAGGAAGGGAGTATGACAAGCTACCTAACAGACTCAAATGCAACACTTCTTTTTTTTTTCCACAAGGCTCTTATCCAGTATTGGAGTTTGCATATGTCTCACTCTAATGTTCATCTCCAGTTGGTACTACGCCTTGGCTGCCTTGGCCATTGCTGGTGGCATCTACAAGTACATCGAATACATGGGGTGAGTGAAACATGCATTCCCCTTAATCGACCTTTTCCTCCCTTAATGTTGGGAAAATGCACTACTTTGTTATCACCTCCCACCTCAAGATGTGCTGCATTCAGTTTTTATTGAATTTAACCAATTGAAGATGGAATGTGTATGACCTGTTTGGACAAGGAGCTGTATTTAATTGTCATCTTCGTGACTATATATTACTAAGGCCCTAATAAGTAAATTCATTCATTGAGCTTAATATATGAGTGCATAGGTATGGGTGAGTCAATGATATTAGGCTGTTTCATTTCTCATTTCGTCTACGTTGACTATGTACTTCGCTTTTGGCATGGCTACTAACCTTGCTTGACAAAATAGAGCTTCTAAGGAATGGGGCGATGCAACCCGAGGACTGCAGTTTACCACGGCAACTCGAGCTATTCTAGCTTTGGGTACAAAGCCCATCCACACTAAAAATTGGCGACCACAACTCCTCGTCTACGTTCCTGTTAGAAACGACCTTTCAGTGGGTGAATCTAACCTCCTTCATCTCGTACGGCAATTAAAGGCTGGCAAAGGTATGCGTATGGTATTTGGTAGAACCAGACAGTCACTTGTATTTGCGTTCATTTTTAGGCTGTAGATACCAGAGAGCACATTTTAGTTGTCACTCGTATCAACACTTTTGTCGGATTGCATGACACATTTTTGGGACAACAAGAGTGTCAAAATCCTTAAATACTCACGGTTAATTGGTCGTTTATGTCATTCTTCACCGTTACTTGCGATTTGTTTACACCGCTCCTCTTCCGGGTTCTCTTCGAAGGGTAGTTGCAAGTGGCACTATAATGACACGAAATTACAGGTGTTACAAGGATTGGAATGCCATTTATGAATCATCTTGGAGAATGGCGTTTTACGTTTTCATGTTTTGTAGGTCTAACTCTGGTGACAACCATTCTTGAGGGGGATATCTGTGCCAGAAAGGATGATGTAGAGTTGGTAAAAAGTCAGCTGGACGAGCAGCTTGTCAAGTGTCGTGTCAAAGGCCTCGCCAGCGTTATTGTCGCCCAGTCTGTTGCCGAGGGCATGAAAAATATGTAAATTTTGTTTTTCCTCATCAATATATTTGCCCAATTTCTAAGCTAAAATAAACAAATATAAATAGAGGTACCTGGTGACATATGCAGCATTTTGATACACTTTGAATAATAAATGAGCAGCTGCCATTCACGATTGTAGCTATGCGATTAAGCCTCATTTTCTCCACTTTTAATGGTTTAATCTCATTTCATCATTATGCACATCTGAACACATGTGGACATATTTTTAAGTTAACTTTTAAACTGCACAGTTTTTTGACCTCAAGAGGATTGACTTTGTAAAATGAAGTGACTTGTACTATCCTTCAGGGTACAGTCTGCGGGTTTGGGAAATTTGCGTCACAACACAATCCTGCTTACTTATCCGGAGGATTGGAGGCAAACTGAGGACAAGGAGAATGCTCGTTTACTACAGTTCACCTGTGAGCTTGCATATTTTCCTAAAACCTTTCTACTCTGTTTTTCCCTTGTCTTTTTATTGTCAGACATATTTAATCACCTGCCAACTCAAATTATTGCAAGTTTTCTCCCTAAATTAGTAAACAGTGCTGGCCAACTACCGACAGTCATTTTTACCTCTGGGTGTCCATCACTTCAGATTAGTGCTCCTATTCAGCAGTGGAGGGATATTGACTCAAATTTGAACAGGAGACATTGTCATGAGTCTCAGACAACGCTGCCCCATCTTCTCTTGCAAACGAAGTTGAATTGTAAAGTCTACCGCCCAGTAAAACTCATCCCACTGTCATGCGCTTTAACCAGTAAGCAAACGAATAAACTCGGAGGCAAGCACTAGGGGTTGCGTGACACTCCCCTCCAATTTTAAAAAGGGTCGATTTGTAGACCTTTGCTTAGTTATGCTTTTCTCCAAAAAACTCCAACTCTGTCCGATTGCAAAATTACAAAATGCCTTTCTTGTTTGGAAGATGCAAGGGATGCTAGATACTTGTAAGCTCTGTTACACGTAGGTGTCCTTGTTTTCGGCTTTAGCCATATTGAGGACAGCGCAAGCCTGCAGTTTGGCCATTCTAATGCCTCGATTCATTGAGGCTTTTCCTCAATCAAAGGATACTGCACTAACTGGAACTGTAGATCTCTGGTTCATTGTTCACGACGGTGGCATTTTGCTCCTCACTGCTTACCTTCTTCTCCGCAATCGAGTTTGGTGCAAGTGTCGTCTGCGTGTATTTGTGGTTACTGGCGAACCAGATACGAATGGTGTGCTGAAGAAAGTGATGACGCGATTTGTGTATGATCTACGCATCTCAGCTGAGGTAGAAATAGTTGAAATGGTGGGTTTTTTTTGGCATAAAGCATCTTCATCATTAATAGCAGTGTTATGACAATCTTTGCCCACCACTTTTAGTCGAAAACGGATATCTCAGCGTATGCATTGCAACGAACAGTAGCTGCAGATCAAAGGAGAGAACTACTTAAGGAGATGAGGTGTCAGGACGTTGCATCTAAAACGGACTTACAGACAGTGATTGACGAGCACTATGTGGGCGTGCGTGAAAGTGCTGATGGAGACCTACTTTGCCCCCAAAAACCTGTAAAAAAACCCTCCATTTTCAAAGTCTTTATTAGCGGCCCTGCACAAGATTCTTGTGCTAACACAACAGAGGAACGGAGGGAGGTATGTTTTTATAACTACTTATAACCTTATTAGTAGGTCGAATTTATTGCAGTAGTTGTGGATGCTGGCCCTTGTGTACATCTTATGCTTCCAGCACCTCATTTCTAACAAAACATATTTGTGAGTTCGTAGCTCATAATGTTGAATAACTCAGTTTGGATTTTGAGCGTTCACCTTCTGTTAGCTCCTCTTATTATTTTTTAAAGCAACACAATTAAGCAGTGCTGTTAATACGATGCGATGCCTTCCATTTTCTAAACTTCAGTCAAAGGGTAAAACTGATGCCCATTTACTAACGCCAGTAAGGGAGGCCAAAAATGCCCTTGTTGATGATAAGACGAAAGGTGACAAAGAGAGGGAGAAGGGCGAGGAGAATGAAGACGACAGAAAGAGCATGAATCAGCACAGTGTAACATTTGCTGAAGGAGGTGGTCTTATGAAGAAGAGGAGGGAATCCCAACAGGGTAGAGGAGAGGACGATGTCTCGTCATCGGAGAATAGTGCTTCAGCAAACCAACGCCTCAATGAGTACACATTCTCTCCGTCGGCTCTGCATGCTGCAATTGCTGGCGATGCGGAGTCAGATAATCCTGAAAGTCTTCACAGCCCTTCTGGTAAAAAGTGAGTAAAAATGAGGTCCTTTCGTCTACCCCTTGAATGTATTTATTCCAAGGTTTGTGATTTTTGACATGCTTTGAAATAAAGAGGTCTTAGGAATCAGGAGAGACAAAATTCTCCCTACTGACTTGTATCGCGAATTCAGATGGAACCACTTGACGTAACTTGTAGGACTTTATCACCACGTCGATTGCATAGTGCGAAGCGCTTGAATGAACTGATTGTTGAACGATCTGCGGATGCGGCTGCCGTGCTTATTAATCTGCCTGCACTACCAAAAAGTCCAGGCTCAGAATTCTACTACATGGAATATGTGGAAACGCTTACCGATGGCTTACAACGCGTCATACTCATTCGTGGTTCAGGTCGTGAAGTAATCACGGCCTTCGCCGAGTAGGTGCTTGGAGGTGCCAAAGAAAGGTATTATTCCCACTGACAACCTCCTCCTTTCTCCCCTTTCCTTCCACCGAATTACCTACAACGACTTACACATCTCAACACACATGCACACACAGATGTATTCCAAATCTTCACTAAACAAACGCCAAAACGGATGCTCATTGAAACCCCCTCTCTCTCCTGATTATGTTTACTTCTCACCACACACCCTTGTCTATTACATCCTCCCAACACCTGCCCTATATGCCATTGTTATACACCCGAACGTACTAAGACAATCTTGCTTTTGACCTATGCTATGTAAGTTCTTCCTTTCTTTGTGATGTGTGTATGTGATTCGTCAATCTCACCACCACTTCTTCTAACGTAGGCATGAAATACACCTCCTAGAAGGACAGATGAAATAAATGTGCTCATTCCTACTACACGTATTCTTCTAATTCAATCTTCTCAATAACAAGCGCATCTTTATTGGCTGCAAAATATGTCTCGGGGACGTTTTGTCGCAAATCTAATTTGATTTGCAGTGATCCTTTGGTGAGTAGCAAAGCGGAGTTGATCCCACGATCTCCATGGAAGTCTGGATACTTCGTTCATTACTTACGTTTAGACTTGCATCCCCCAAAATCTCGTTCTATGATAACGAAGGCGCAAGGATATGCTGTCCTTTGAAGTAAACTAAGTAAATTTAAGGGCATGCTGTCTTCGGTCCTACACTTTATCAGCACGTGACAAGGGTGGTTCATCAGTAACGCTGGCAATCTGTGAGATGGAATGTTCCACGCTCCCTTCATTCAGATGAACATGTCAATGAGTCTACAAATCTCATTTACCAGAGGCCTCTACCAGAAGTGACAATTTGTAGTAGGTGATAAAACACCTGTTACTGGCGCCTTTAATCACAGTGGTCCTTAGACTCCACCACAAGCAGTCAGGTAGGTGTCTGCCTAATCTACAAATTTTATGAGGTCACACAAAGGGCGAGTTTTGCTGAAGGCGTGATCCGGTCATTGTTACACAGTTTTCGACACTGTACTCACACGCCTTGTCAAATAAAAGCACCTCATACCCTCACAATCCCCTTGCGATCATGTCATGGCAACTGAGGGCTGCGTATTGAACTGGAGTTGGTGGAACATATTTAGGAACTGAACTGGAAGAGAATTATTGCGTCCACGATTGTGTGTGCCTGTGTGCCTGATAGTAACTTTCGTATTTATTTTGCACTAGACTGTGGGTTGGTGTTCAGGCCAAGTCAAAGAGCATTTTTTTTCCTTGAGCACATGCATTCAACCCTGCTTAATGCCCTCTTACCCACTGAGAAGTCTTAGAACAGGTAGTATCCAAATGTATACTCGACTTTGATTCGACTTCTATCCGGAGTGTCTATCGTTTGCAACATGCTTATGCAGAGGAGGCTCCCATACTTTGGACGGGCAATTTTCAAAATTTGTCACAACAGAAGGATCGAGAATGACGTCTGAGTTTAGCATCCACTACATTCCCGATTTTCACAGACAGGCTATTAACATCTTAAGCGAAAAGTTTCTTATCAGAGCTACCCATAGCACATCCACGTATAAATGTCAAATCTGATACTGAATCGAATCCTCCCTCATGCAGGACTGTGTTTAATCCCATTTTCCTTGTTAAAAATCTGTTTTTCGATCAGTGTTCCCAACGTCTGCTCCTAAACATAATTGATGGACAGAAATTATTCTTAGTGATTCTAGTCCTCAAATCAGACAACTCCATATCCATTGGAAGCTGCTGAGAAAGCCACATACAATAGCACAGTTTTTTGGCAGCTGATGGTGGTGTCGGTTGAATCGTGGGTCTTTCCATATAACAGCGGATGCTTTAATGACTGGAGCACTGTGTACTAAGGCGAGCACCAAGGACGCCCCTGAAAGGGAGGGATAATGCAAAATCGTTTATGCGACTATCTGTATGATTAGCGAGCACTTTGGTATTTTAGTTGTTCTATAGGCTGTGTTTGCTGGCTTTCGGGCCAAGCCAATTCCCGAGCTGCCCCCATTAATTGTGGAAATAAGTATTCACCTCTTCTTAATGCGCTCTTTCACCTGATGGAAAGCCTCCGAAAACTACAACGACCTCTTTAAAGGCTTTTGCAGAAGAAAAGTGGTCAAGCATTTAGGTGACTAAAAACAGCGTACTCACCTTAAATCCATCAAGGGTGAGGGGCGGTGGCGAAGCACAAATAACAACTGTAGTTTCCTGCAAACTAATGGTCTACGCACGATGTCATCTCGAAGTAGAAAGGAAAGATGCAAAGTAGAATTCTCACCAGGCATATGCCCACATGCAAATGCGAGTTAAAACTTCAGTTAAGATCTTGAGAATGGGGCCTGAAGACTCAAGTTAAACAAGCAGCATTTGTTTGCAACAGGAAACAGGAAACAAACTAAAAAAACGTCTTGGAGGCTCCTTTAAACAGAGTAGCCAAATCTGAATCTGTTATAAAATGCAATCCTAAATAGATTACAAGAATTCCTTTTAGTGAGTTGCTTTTGGTTGGTTGGGTGGTTTAAGTAGTGCTCAATGGGAGGGAGTCGCAAACACAACTGGAACGGCGTGCAGGACTAAGAGAAACGTCGACGGGGGTGGGAAGGAAGGTGCTACGGTTTTCAATGAGGAAATAAACTTAAGATGGAATCATGAACATGCTAGATGGGACTCTCAGTTGCTGCTAAAATATGTCTGTATGTACTGTAACGTTTAGCACTACCACGACTACCCACATAGTTGTTTCGTTTTTTAAAAGCTTGTGCTGTAAAACAGTTTGTTACCTTTCAAATGGTCGTGTGGAGGAGCCATAGAGCGCGGATGCACAAATAATATTGCTAGTGGTTCAGCTGCTCACGAGACTCCATGGTGCTCGTTGTGCAAATGGACGTTAATTTGTCAGATAAGCAGCTCCTTTTGCCAACGAATGACGTCAAAGCATATAATTATTATCATGCACAAAGACCTCTTTGTCATTAGCTTAGCTAAACTCGCCAAACACCCGCCCGTTTAGAGGATAGAACACTGACAATCCTAAGTCGAGACGCGTTAGTTTGGACTTAAGTTGGCTCATAAAATGTATAAATTCCCCTTTTCCTTTCATAGATCGACAGGCTGTTGACCACTGCTTGGGCGGCCGACCCGCTAGCATGAGTGACCACCTTAATTTGAGGATTATGGGATTCATCTGCCAATGGGCAGCGAAGATGGTCTCCCAAGGGACCCATTCTCACTTAATCTTGGGGGCTGTAGTTGAGAAAGATGCAGATCTGCAGGGTTAATCTTCATGCATTACAAGAAAAAAGCAAAGTGTATCATTGCCTTGCATGATTTCGACAGCTACAGCAACTTCAGTCCCTTTCGCCTAAAACAGGCGACTGTAATCCATTTTTACTGTTATCTAATGGAAGTTACGAATAATGCAAAAGTCACACAATTATGCTTTATGCATCAAGAAGACGAGAGCATAGAGGAAAGATCGAGGTATTGCAAATCACATATTGCCGAAGCCTAAAATGGGAAGCGGACATGAATAGGTTTACTACTAGATGAACCTGCTGACCGTTCTCTCCGACATGCGCTAAGGATTATACGAGGACTGTAGCCACACAAGCCAATACAAATGCTCAAATCACTAGCATCTCTGCTAGTGCCTACACTAAGCAGGCATAGTAGGAATGCACGTACTTATGTCATTGGAAAGCATTGCTGCAACTGGCATCATCGTCTACTGAATTTCGATTGCAGTGACGCTGGCAGTTGATGTGCCTTGCGATGGTTGGCATGGAGGAATGCATATGGATTCGGTAGCACATAAGCACGCAGAAAAACGGACTTACCAAAGGGTGTTGCTCCGATAGCCTCAGCGCAATCCAAAATTACTAACTCCAAGCTAAGCCTCATCAGTTGTGCTGCCAAAAGTTAGTCCAGTAAGCTTGGGATTGCCATGTTTCCATCTTCGTTAAGAGAAGAAAGGAGTGTTGTCGAGTTAGTTCGACTAAGTTCACGTACCCTTCTTCCAAGCTCCAAACAGTCTTAGTTAACTGCATTGAGTGATCATCCACGTGACTCCAAGAGAAGTGATGCCGAAGACAGGCTGTTTGTGAGACTTGCACTTTTCCACTGGATGTGTTTCGATTAAAAGGAAGAGCGGCAGCACCACTTCAGACCTTCCTCAAAACACATACGTCACCACTGTGCCTGCATTGAAATGACAATTGTATTGTCGCTGACCACTAGCAAGTGCACAACTTTTCGGCATATGCGTACTGGTGGTATTTAGTGCATTGAGGCATCGTTCGGCAATGGGAAAAGGGCTGCGAAAGAGTGTGTATGTTCGTAGTGCCTTGGCGCACCAACAGGGCAAAACGACATGTGTGATAGAATTGGGTCGGTCGGATAGTTCTGGATTAAACAACACTTAGAAGTCGAATAGTGTTAATGTGTCGAGTAGCTGCGATCGTGAAGTAATCTAATCCAGCTCTGATACTAACTATAGCCATGGTCTTCCGAAATCTGAGGCGTCAGAGCTGATCTGGTATAATTAACTGAAAACAGACATTAAAGGTTGGTTGTAGCCAAAGACCTTACGCCTACTTCTTAATTTCCAGCGGCTAATCTCTGGCTCAACGTCTCATTCTTATTGCTACAATTCACGTATTTGTTGCGCACTTCCTGGCAGAGACCAAGTTAGTGTCATTTAACCGGATCCATTGAAACATGACTCAAGGCGTATGTTGTGGATGCGGGATCGGGATGGCGAAGGTGGTTGTTTACATAAGTACAAGTCATCAACCAATGTGGTGGATGACCCGAAATGTGCTGCATTAAGTCTCCTTACCGCGATCTTGCGTAAATTCGAAGTTGTGCAGGCTTATAAGCAGTCTGTTAAAATGGGCGTATCATCGTTATAAGTGACCTTTCCCATCCTAAAGGGCTGCAATAGAAGGAGGGCCGTATGTGACACCTATG